ATTGTCCACCCCGGATCCGACTACCTGCTGAGGTGGCGGCAACGGCCGAAGCCAGCCCCGAGCTCAGCAGCAGGGCACCGTTCGAGCGACAATTTGTTTTTGTTTGAAATCGCTTTTGCTCATTCATTGTCCACTCCGGATCCGACTACCTGCTGAGGTGGCAGTAATAGCCAGCCGCTGACTCGTGCGACATTATTATTCGCCTGCATGCGCCATGTTGCAGGAGTTGTCCAGTACATTTGACGTGGTTCGATTTCGCTTCGGATCCGACTAACCTACTGAGATATTTGTGGCGGCGGTGACTAAAGCCAGCCGCCAACTCAATAGCAGGGCACCGTTTGAGCGACATTATTTCGCCTGCATGCTACATGGCGTTGCATGGGAGATATGGGGGGTGATATCATGAATCATCAGCCGCGCCCACGACTCCGTTTCTATTTTCTCGTTTTCATGGCGTACCTACATTCCCGCACGGGAGTTCGGTCACGTGTAGAGCGTTGGTTCTATCACGTATAGTGCGTTGGGTGGAGGAGACAGTTACGCATAGTTGCGCATAGATAGCCAAATACCAGCACCCTCTCACAGGTGGCGTCATGATGAGGATGTATGTATGTGGCCACAGCAGTAGACCTCGATTACTGTTCGCCTGCCGCTCGGTTGCAGAAACCGAACGTTGGCGGAGGCAGACGAGAAGTACAAAGGGGAGCACACGGCAGACTGCTGTCGAGCAGACTGGGCGAACTGCGTGATCTCATGTGGCGGCGTCCCATGAATTCCTCCAGAATACTGTAGCACACGACGGGGTTGCACCGCGCGTAAGGCGACACGGTAACGGCGCGGCTGTCTATTGATAACGATGGCGGTGGATGGGATGTGATCAGCCAGCCCTTGATGAGATTTGACACGAAAACACATACCACGCGGGTTGTCAGCCCCCCAGAGTAGGTGGTAGTCCCTTCGTGTTTCCACGGCTGGGCGCTCCAGCCGAGCGTGCTCCATGATCATCCGCCCTCGTCCCGCGGCCCCTCGAGAAACGCTACGAATTTCTGCTAGCTAGGTCCAAACTTCGATGCAGCTAGCTGCTGCCCTCCTTCCCGCGTGACCCTCCGACGCGGGCTGCGTGTTACACACTGTGCATTCCGCAACACGTGGCCCTTGGTCCAGTAGACACGCGTCTATCAAACTCTTGCTGCAGGAGCAGCGAGGCAGCAGAATGAGAACTCCGTGAGACCTTTTTCTTTGTAAGACCCTAGAAAACCAAACCAAGACAACCCAACCAACACGCCTCCAGGGCGGCACAACAAGAACCCAAATACAAACGTAGATCTGGGAGATGTTCCGAATTCTTCCGTGCACAATAAACTACGGTTTATTCGGTCTTCGACAACAAATTTTCATTTTATTGGGACCAACAGAACGGGGGAGGCACCCCTTCCTCGTAGCACAGATGGGAAGGTGGCATGGGGGATCCTACGCAGATAACTCACCGTGGTCAGTCCTCGGACTGCTTCAAAGGAAGCCTCCGTCGCCAGCACGAGCGGACCGTTCCCCTCCCGTTTCCCCTCAATCGGTCCTGCAAATGAAAACAAAAACAAAAATTGGGACAAACATCATCATATCAGCGTGGATAGGTACGTACCCCCACACCCCTCGTGGGCCCTCCTATCGATTGTCGCCTCGAGGACAAAATTGCAGTTGATCCCTCACCTGCGATAGCCGCGTCGAGGAGACTAGCGGCTTTCCGCTCGAGGGTGGAGTAGTTCTTGTACTCTTGACGAGTCATCTAATTGAGAAAACAACAACAATACATCGTCGGCACAAGAGACGCGAGACAAATCACGAAAGTTGCGGTGGAAGGAGAGCATGATCGAAACGAAAGACTACGCCCAATCTTCTCCATGAAAGGACAGGAAAATTTCTTCGTCGAGTAGATATAATGAAGTGGGATTTATTGATGTGACGGTCGAATTATAGCCTCGTCATCTGTCGGAGACCTGGGGTTATACGCGGGAGAATCATTGCCCTCTATTGTCTGCACCCGCTAGAGGTTGATGAACGAACAGACGGCGCAGACGCAACAATGACTACCATTTCAAGGGCCAGAGAGTTTGTCAGAGGTCCTGATTTCCCGCGAAGCTCGAAAAAGGTTCAGCGAGTCAGCGTTGTTGGGCAACGTCACCGCACGCAGGGAATTACATCGATTTCCTGTGCTAGCCACCGGTATTAAGGCCAAAGATATGTCACCGTCTGTCTATGTTGCGGTACGGATACGTGGGAAGAGGCACTGAGATAATACGTAAAACCTACAGTCACTGCTGTCTCGCCTTCTCGCGATCTAGTAACGGCCCCGAAAAATGCTGCCCGCGGTCAACAAGCGCCAACCGAACCGTCACTCCGCCTCCACCAGAACCAGACGAAACCGCCGCCGCGCTGCTGCCACTGTTGGCAGACCGAGTAGGGTAGTGGAATTGGTGTCCGCCCGGTCCACCCGATGTTGCTCCCTGTGTTGAGGTTGGGTCTGCTAGCGCCGCTAGCCCATCGGCCTGGTGGGGGGGGGG